ATCACAGCTGGTCCTCAGCTGATGAGATGATGGACTCGTGTATATTGTCTCTGCGCTACGCCGGTCGAATAGCGTGTGCTGCGCTACGAACTATATGTAACGGGCCATAACTGCACCAGCGTTATTCCGAGGTAACCAGCCACGCCAGGCCCTACCTGAATGACATCATCAGTAGCAGGTGACTCAGCACGAGAAGGGAGCGTTGAACGCACCCGCGCTTAGCAATGCACAAGAGATGTGCAAGCGGCAAAAGTCAGAGTTTGAGCAGCTCTGCACAGACTCTTGATTGTCAAGACTTTAATTTTTGCAATTATTGCTGTATATATATATAGATGTTTCGCAATGTTTTTCACATGGAAAATGTTTGTAAAGGTTATTTCATGATTACTGAATAAACTCTTTGAAATTATGTTTACTATTAATTTCTACCTCTTCTGTAATATGTTTGTGTGTCTGTGTGAGAGCGCGCGTGATAACACTTCATAATAACGATCGGGAGCGCTGTTACGTCACGCTGCGTGAGTCAATCTACTATCAATGATGCCTCAGTATAGACCGCGGAAATCTCTGTGTCTGTGTAATGTACACCCCGCGGGGTACACTTTAAATTCTTTCCAGCAACAGTTAGTTTCAAAAATCTCAATGCATTCTCGAAATTGTAATTGAAATGTAATTCAACCATCTTGACAATATCAGATGTTCTGCGTTACGAGTAACATATAAGCCGATGGTTTAATTACTCAAGATTATAGTGTATTTACGCGCTATAGTCACTAATAGCGCCACTGGTACAGTGTAAACATTGTATATCGGGTTCTCCTCATCTTCCTCGGCTTATGAGTGGATGCTACTTTCTGCTCGGCATCTGTGCTCTATATTGCTGTTTGTGCCCCCACGTGCACATGCGTGCAGATAGATACACGTCAATATGCCATGAAGTTTATAACTTAACCAGTTAAACGTGTTCAGAATAAATTTTGAAACACGTGCATTGTCTATTCAAGCACGTGGTTAAGCCCGGCGCACACGTGAGTCTGCGAGTTTTTTATTTTACTCAAGTAAAATGACGCATGAGTCATTTTACTCAGGTGTGCGGCGGATTTTCGTTGAGTAATTTGACGCATGCGTCATTTTACTCACGTGTGCGGCGGATTTTCGTTGAGTAATTTGACGCATGCGTCATTTTACTCACGTGTGCGGCGAATTTTCGTTGAGTAATTTGACTCATGCGTCATTTTACTCACGTGTGCGGCGAATTTTCGTTGAGTAATTTGACTCATGCGTCATTTTACTTGAGTTAAATAACTCACGTGTGCGCCGGGCCTAAGTAATTTACACGTGCGTGTTTTGCACGTGGAGTGTTAAACTTACAAGCGAACACTCAGATACCCGTGCTTGTATGCGTGAATCACATTTAGCTGAATTGATTTCATTCAGTAACTCCCATGAACCGGCTGAATTTCATTCAGCATGATGTAATGAAAACGCAATAAATCCCTCCATCATCTGTTGACATCATCAACATGTTTTAACTATCACGTCCGAATATATATGAAAGAATTTAGTTATATACGTATATATTTATCAAAACGTTATTGAGGAATTTGTAATAAGGTATAGATGTAAGATCTGGAAGCATTTTTATTAATACATACGCGACGTATTTAAAAATAAGATGTCTGGTAATTTCGACCATATTATGAAATTAAAGTCGTTTCTTTATTGTTCGATTTTTTGTTTGTAGTTCCTCGGTTCATCGTTGCACCATACTCGTAATTCGTAATTTATGCGCTTTCATTGTTTCACTTATGCACGTCAGGTTTTCAGCACTATAACAAAGTTTTCTAACGCGCTTTGCGTCCAATTGTGCTAGTTTATTAACTTTCAAATATAGTTAGCCTCAACAACAGCTGAGCAGAGCGCAACCGGTGACTAGGAGGTAAAGTTTTGCTACGCATGACAAGCTTTCTATGCCACGCTTCGTTACTGTGTTAACGTATGCGGTGGGTACTTTATTACGTTGTTGTTGCGAGTAGAGACCGGTCATGCAGCGGACAGACCGTGATCGACTGCTACGATGCCTGCGCGAACTAGCTCGGAGTGCCCCTAGCGGGTATTTGACGGCAGATATCTAGGGTTCAAGTGTACCGCATGCGCGCGCGCAAGACTTTGTTATTGCACGTGGGAGAGTCGTGATTTGCGCATACCATCACGGTGTAGCTCCTATGTGATCTGCGCATGCGTGCGACATACGATATTGTCACAGATGTAGCGTTAAAAAGGATGACACGGCACACGTGGATTCCGCGTGCGTAGTTTCTTTGCTGGTTCTTCTTAAGATAAGAGATTGGTCACGGTAAGGTCGGGGAGGTCTCCACTGACCTTCACGTTTAGAGCAAGGTAGATGTGCACGTAGACAACGCGTTAGATTTCATCTCTTATATAGATTTGGTCGTGCCTTAACCCCTTACGCCTGTTTTCTGCACTTCAAAACAAATTGTTAAATATTGCGATCCACTTTTACTTGGAGATACCGGCGATAATCGCATTTACAAATCAAATTCTGAGAAATGTCTCGAGCAAGGTGTGGTTCAATAAGTGTCAGACACGTCCTGTTTGTTGATAGATGTAACATTTAAACAAACCGACCGCCAAAGACGCGGTGGCTATAGCGACCAGACAGCGATTCGCCAATTTCACTTAAAGGGGTATTGAAATTAAGGCCTACCCAATAAGTTACTTTAGATTTTCGCTAAGGATTTATGTGGGGTCGACCGACCGAACGCGCGCGCGCGCACACACACACACAAACACACACACACACACACACAGCCGACCACGCACGCACCGCACGCACGCACGCACGCACGCGACACACACGCAACGCACGCCCCCCACACCATTCCACCACACACACACACGACACCGCGCGCAGCGCACGCGCACGCACGCCCCACTGCAGCGCACCGCACACACACACACACACACACACCACCAACCACCACCACAACACACACACTAGCTCACACACGCGCGCACGCGCACGCACGCACGCTGCGCGCACACACACACACACACACACACACACACACACACACACACACCCACCACCACCGACCACCACCACCACACACCACCACGCACCACACACAGACACACTCGACGCCGCGCGTGCCACGCGCACGCGCACGCACGCACGCACACACACACCACACACACACACAGCACACACACACACACACACACACACACACAACACAACAACACCACGCACCACACACACACTAGCTCACACACGCGCGCATGCGCACGCACCGACGCGCTGCCGCACACACACACACACACACAAACACACACACACGACACGCAGCGAACCACCACAGCACAACACACACACCACGCCACTCACACACGCACCACCACCCCACCACCACACACACACTCACGCGCGCTCGCGCACGAGCCTGTCCAGAAAGACCAAAGACGTAGTGGGTTAGGATCACGTGTGATTCACGCGCACACCGGTTGCTTTGATTTAGAATCAGATGTAGCCATCACCAAGTCTATCATCAATGACGGGTTCAGCTAGTTAACCTTAATCGCCACAGAAAGTAAGAGTCGTAAATGTTTGCCACGAGCCAAGCGCGACAGGCGCCTGCTCACATTAGCGCGAGGCCACCAAAGTTTCCGCCTGCGCATTCATCTTAACAAGTACTTCTAAAAAATTCGCGACACGCCTGCAATCATGCTTCCTGTAGCGTTTTACTCCACCAGGACACGCCAGTCAGCACGATCTGGGAGCTCCTAACCTATAGATGAACTCTCAGCGACACGATGTACTAGAAGCAGCGCCAACGCGTTGGCACGTGGAATGATTATCATGGAAGTCACGGGCGGTGAAGCGCGTGTTCCGTGGCCCACATACCACGCGTGCTATTGTTACGTGTGACGCATGCCTGGATGGCGCGCCGCGTGTATATAAGCCCAGCGCGCGCTACCAAGTACCGCCAACACAACACAATCGAGAACTACGATATTTGTCAGAAAGTTTTATCGATCGAATAGAAGCCTATGGACGCAGTATACGAACGGGAAAACTTCACGCCGAGAGATGCTTGATTGGAAGCGGACTGGGAGTTCATCGGTGCCTGCAAACCTGCATGGCAGCGTGAGAGCAGGAACAGTGTTCGCCTGGTTCGAGATACGGTGTCCGGCAAAGCTGTTTGTCGTCTACTTCCCGCGCTTCTTTCCTGCACTCAGCGAACAAGTGGGCATCAGGATGCATGGGATCGGGTACGACGCGAGAGTGGCCTGAACTTGTCCTTAAATGGTGAGTGATCGTTACGGCTTGCGCTTCTTTCAGAAAATGTTCCAGATATCTGTTTAAGTTATCGACCTCAGCTCTACATCTATGTTACCTATTAGCTCACCTGCGCATTATATATCGCTCAATGGCAACTACGGTTATAGTTACTGAACATAGGATGGTTTCTAATAGCTTTACTGGCATATCGCAGGAACCGGCAATCTCCGTTTCAAAACTCTCATCATGGCATACTTTCTGTTTTGAGGCTGTTATTCGCGCCGACAGGCCGTCTTGGTTATGCTGTTGAAATGGCCCAGGCTTTCATCCAACGTCTCTTGTACCCGTCACCCGGTATGCCCCGTAGGTACCCGATAGGTGGGGACCGGAGTCTCTGATACATCCAGGTCTACTGAATTTAATGCTGAGCTGCAATCTGCTATGCGTTTGATATACGAGATATTGCGATTTTGTTGTATTCTTTGATTATTTTCATGAGCATTATATTGTTTTATACCATGATTATTTTTTTTTTTTTTTTTTTTTTTTTTTTTTTTTTTTTTTTTTATATTTCATAATCGCGTTGATATATCTGGCTTGTATAGGTACCCGCTCTGGCCACGCTATGATTACTGGTTGCTGCTCTGTGCGTGCTGGCAACAGCACTGCTTAAGAAACTGG